CCTTAATATGCTATGGTTTTACAACCCGACGCCGGAGATGATCAGTCTCCAGTTCGGATTCTATACATATATATACACTGTTAAACAATCACATACACATAGCAAAACATAATTCGGAACATCTATTCATCAATCAAGCACATGCACCACGTTACTCAAACACTCACGCACCACGTACTCACACTCACACCAGCATGCAGATGTATATACACTATCATTTACACAAAAGCGCTTATCTGCCACCCACCCTCTTCTAGATAACCTATCTACCTAATTCATAGGATTTCTAGAGAGTGGAAAATGTTAAGCAGATCTTACCAGTCACCGCTGGATTTCACCTTAACCATAACCTTAACCAGTCGCCGCTGGATTTTCTATTAAGCAGGACTACTGGCCCCATTTATTAAATGAGACTACTGGCCTCAAAACAAGACTACTGGCCTTGCTTATGAAATGAGACTACTGGCCTCAAAATTCGAGGCAAGACTGCAGGCCTTTAACCTCTTCTTATCCTCCAGACTTCAGGCCTCCAAAGCTTCGAGCTTCCTTAATCATATACTTAAGCCAATCCCGTAGAGCAAGCTCCCCCCCCCCAATCTATTAAATCCTGCAATACCTAATTGTGAAGGACTTTATGCACAGAGAGGGGAAATGAAGAGAAGAGTCTTCTCTAAAGACGCCGTAATTATTGTGGGAAACCTAGTGGACAACATGCGCATTGTCACGCCTCATGCGAACCCCCTAACCAATCCCATACGGGTCTACTTGTATGAGTTTATCCTGCTGGTCTTTATGTCTCAGCAGACCAGTTCGCCGCCTGGATTTTCTAACGCTCTAAGTGTGTACCTGAACGCACCAAACGCGCGTGTTTGGAATTTCTAAAAGCCGGCTCCCATTCGCATTCACTTTGCAAAAGTATGCCCCCACTGTTATTCAATATCAGCTTATTATATTCACCCAAGTCATTAATGTACTAGCCTTTAGTCTTTAGCATCTAAGGCCTTGCCTCATGGCCGACTGCCAGCACCACTCTAAATTTTCCTAAATCTACCTATCACAGAATTCATGAAAAAGGTTCTGTTTTACCTTGTTTGTACCCGTGGTACTTGCAGTCAAACCTCTCAGCAACGCCTTCCCCCAACGAGAGCCCCACGTTGGGCGCCAACTGTTACGGTTTGCGGAAGCTCTCGAGGGAGGACTCAATCCTTTGTTCTCGTCCCGGCCGGAAACGAGGACACGAATGAGTCAATTCGTTTAAATTCAAAAATCAAAAAGTATTTAATGACTAAACAACGTAGTAGGGATTACAATTACAAAGTGAAATACTAAGCGAACAGTGGAATATTTCGCGAAATAGAGAATCCTCTGAGCAAGTCTGAAGTGACTTATCAACGCGGCTGCAGGAGAAGTTCTAACAGTCTTTTCCCCGCTTTGGTCCTTTGAAAACTCTTGAGGTGTGTCTTCTTTGGTGCATTTGAATGTCATTGGCCTCTTCTCCAAAGGGTCACCTCCTCCATTGTCCCCTTCACGTCGAGGTGTGAAGCTGCAGCTGTAACCTGAAACCTCTCTGTCCTAGCTGTCCCTCACATTCCAATGCACTCAATGTAGATACAGTGGCTTTATGCCCCAATGAGTGAATTTAACAAAGCATACATCGTTTAAGTCTTCATCTTATAACTAGTACACTTTCATTACAACAACCCATCACTAATGATCACCGTTCATCACACTTCATCATAAGATCTAAAACAGTTCATGTGGTTCAATTCTCAAGACATTTGCCTCAGTCGGCTGCCTTACATTAAGTTGTTCATTTATTACCTGACAGGAGAAAAAACTCCCAAAAAACCCTTTTTGGGGATAAAATTGGGAGAAATCCATAAAGAACGGCAATTGGCATCCGTCCCCAGGTTTTAACATCACATCATGACAGAATGTTAATGTTACAGTGTTTATATGATTTAAATGACTATGAATTGTGTTTGATTGAAATTGCATTCACTTCATCTAACATGTTAACGTAATAACTAATATCTAATAACACACAAACTATAATTCTATCACTAAACATCATTACACGTACTACAAATTCTATGACTAGGGGTGCACTTCTGGCTTAAATCCCTAACAATGGTACCATCATCTTCCATGTCAGGATGTGGTAGAAGAATGAATGAAGAGAAGCTCGGTGTGCGTTTCTAACATATCTTTAGAAATTGAGAACTTTGATTGCACTTTAATTTACAAACACTGTTCCTATGATTACATCTGTAAAGTGTCAGCAAGGGCAAAGTAAAACGTGACCTTAACTCAGTAACGTTAATGGGCAAAACGAAGGATTCTTCAACTTGTGTATTTACTTGTGAGGCAAAAAACAGGAGGGCGGTGTGTTGGTTTGAAGCACTTCAACTGGAAACAAGTACTTAACCTCCGTTAATCTCACCGCGGCTCTGAAGCTTTTTGAAGGCGCCCGGTCACATGTCTCTGACATGTTATAACTAGACGCCATCTACATGCGTGCACAGGGCTTTACAGACAAAGCCAAGGCAGTGAACCATGCAATTACTATAATCGTGTCATGTCCGTGTTCTTGAGCAGCGAGTATTAAAAACTATAACTCATGTCAACATTTGTTTTGTAATCAATTCTAATCAAAACTCTCTAATCAGAACTATTTAGATTGACTTGACATATCTCGACATGTCAGAGACAAGCCGGCGGCTAAAGGGGCCAATGCACAGAGTAAAGGGAACCTGACAAAAGGTGAATGATATTCCCAAAAACCTCAGTAAAAGCGTCAAAATATAGAAGATGCCGCAATTATAACACTGACTGACGAGGATGAAAGGGCATCAATTCTCTTTGAAAAACACCCCAAGGGGTGCGTGTGAATGTGTTTCTTGTTTGTTTCTCACAGTCGACGTGTGAGAGTTGGCAGCCACATGCCGTGAATGAACACTTTAGAGAAAAAGAAATTAGTCAGACAAAAGACATTCTCACCTACAAAAATTCCATTCAAGGCTGTGCACGATGGGGAAACAGACACAAGGTCCCCAATTATGTTTTACTGTATCACTCGAGGGTATGAATCGTGACTGAGCTTTAACTGCTAAAACTGCTGTTTACTGCTCGGGACAGCTATAAAACATCGATTGTGATCTTTTGTAATCCCGCTAGGTTACCACCGTCGATTTCATTCAGAAAAAAAGACTCATATGACAGTTGCAATACGTGAAGAAGCAAATATTTTCTGCAAATATCAACTTCTGGTGACACACAAACTCTAGTCTTTCATTCATTAACGGCATCTCCAGGTACGCGGAGGAGAGTCAGATCTAACAGCACTTTGAACAGGCCTTAGTTGGTTCAACCACATCTAACAATGGTAATCAGATCTAGTATTTACTGTAAGCATTTAGTGAAAGTTTGAGTCCATTCCTTCACCGAAAAAGATACCCTAGTGTTGTACTGTGATACACTGTCTGCATGAATTCAATGACAAAAGATCCAGGACAGACAAAAACAACACACCAACCCGGCCGTGACCCCGAGTTGCACATCGGCGCTCCCGTGTTTCCGAGTTTCCGGGTTTGCTTTCCAGCTCACGGAGCTCTGATGACTTTGTAAACTCACCGAGCTCACGTTCCCCTCGGGGGGGGGTTCATCTCGTCGTTAGGACACAATGTTCCAAAATGAGTGGTGAAGAAATGTGGGAGTGAAACGAGGGTGGAGTTGATATCAAAACTGATTCGAAAATAAATGACTTAAAACATTTTAGCAATTGGTGGCATTTAAACAACTTTTAGCAATGGTGGTGTGAAAGATTCAGATCAAAGATTCAGATCCATTTGCGGGACAATTGACAATGTGAGTTTAGCAGAGAGCCAGATTACACAGACTCATTAGGCTTTACGTGCACATGTAGCTACACAACTCTCCTGCAAAGGCTCTTCAATGGCTGATTAGACGTTCAAGAAGACAAATAAAGCTAAATCTCACATCACAAGCATTTTTGGGAGGGTGATCAAAACTGGGAGGGAATTTGTGGAGATTGTAAAAGGAAGACATTGTAAATAAGAGGTGACCACATTATTGACTTGGAATTGGAATTTGGGCTGAAGAGAGGAGAGAACAGGCTGCCCTGACAGATTCAAATAATTCACCTTCACCTCAGTCAGAAAGGCTGCTCTCTCTCTCTCTCTCTCTCTCTCTCTCTCTCTCTCACACACACAGAGGCTCATTGTCTTGTGGCTCACGCGATAATTCAAATGTTTGTGCCAATGTTTATAATCTCAAGGCGCATGAGACGATGGTCCACCTCCAAGGTCACCTCCCGAATTGGTTCTTTTTTTAATACTCTGTGGTTGGCTGAGACCATGTTTTTGGGTCGCAATCAGCTGCTGAAAAAAACAACGTAAAAAAGCGAAGTCATCAACTTTAGCAGTTTCTATTCGTCATTGTGTCAGATGTTGTTTTATGGCTCGTGCCACGTTTTCGCACCGTTTTGTTTTGACACCTCCCACCAAATGTTCCTTGAATCTCATTCCACAAGACGATGGATTGACATCAAAGTGCGTCCACGATGCGCCCGCACACGTTTTGACATCACTTGGCGTGCAACAAATTCTCCTCGAGGTTTGTTGCTCTCGTTGCTGCAGTTGAACACGGAGCAGCTCACGCCGATAACGTTTCTCAGTAGTTATGCAACCTCACATCATTCCCAGAATTACTCACTCCACCTTTAAACCGAGCAGATCTGCCACATACAGGAGAGCCCTGCACAGGTCTTGCAAAAAAAAAAAAAAAAGATTTTCTCCACCCACATCATTAACTTTTTGGAGGTCCCTCTCTTTCTGGGAGGTGGCCTGCGGGGGGGTGGGGGGGCTCAGGGCTGGAAGAAGTGAGCGCTGCAATAACGAGGTTTCCTCCTGCCCTCTGATGGCTGGGGTCTGTCAGTACAAGACAAACTATACATAATAAAGTACACTGCTTATATAAGCCGATATTTAAGTGTTTATTCACGCAAGTCTGTCATACCACATTTTGGAGCATATCTGAATCAAAGGGAAAAGAAGTGTTCCGCTTTTAATAACATTGTGAATGAGGTCATTTGTCCTTGTGGAGGCCTGTGGTCACGATGTCCTTCTAGTACGTTCTTATTACTGTCATTGACTACCTTTTTATAGAGGTTGCCACGGAGAACGGGGAGCAGGGAGTCCAATTGTCATCTGTGTAATTTGCCGACACCCGTCCCATTTTAAGCACAGTTTTAGGCTGATATTCATAATTTGACCCATGTGCGTAAATGAGAGATGGAAATATAGGAAGGCGGCGTCAACTTTCTTTTTGTTGGTCAGGCAAAATGTGATTCAGACATTAGACGAATCATCCCCTCAAAACATAGAGGTTATTGTTATATATTGTTTTTATGCAGTAACTAGGGAGACAGAAATTAAGAAAATGCACACACTTTTTAATGATAAAAGAATATTAAAACAAGTTAAAATCGGTAAATCAGTCATTTAAAAAAGAGTGTTGTGTCCATAAAGAAATATTTGTCTTTTAAAAGAAGAAGGCGGCCTTGATCGTCAGTTGTAGTGCCTCGAATCCTCCACTGGCGGCTCCAATGGTTTCCATTCAGTGAAGTATATAATGTCCACCAAGGTCAGTTTCGGCATTTTCTCCCTCTTTTCTCAATTTTGGTTCCCGGTGTTTCAGATTTCTTTGAACCTGGAATCAAAAAGATTTGAGAATGACTATAAACCATTTACAATACAATCACGTCAATCAATAAGCCGTATGCCTAAATGTGTCGAAGTGACTAGGATCATGTTTTATGTGTATGGCAACATCAGGGTTGACCTACACATTCTAATGAAATCCTATAAATAAACACAGGCATTTACTGAATTGTTTTTGAATAAAACAGTGGAATCATGTACCAAATCGTTCATCCTCAGCGATCGCTTATCCGGCTACTTGAGTTAGTACGGGACTGATATCCATTTGCAGTATCGGTACATCTCTATGAAATATGCAATGAATTGTGAGGCCCTACTGGTGTGCACACTCACCCTCTGGCTCGGGGGACACGTCGACACCAACCAAGAGCTTCTTTGTAAACGAGCCTGGACAAAAACTTCGGACAGACCAACAAACAAGCAGCGTGTCACTCAGGAATGAGGCAGCAATGAGCATGTCGAGCCTTGCCGTGTTGTGGTGTGAGGGAGTAAAAGATGAAGATTGAAGGGGTTTCTCACCAGGCAGGCTAAGAGGTCAGAAGTGATGAGCATGTAGAAGACGTGGTTCCAGCCAGTGGGAGAGATCAGGCCGGCTAGCAGAGGACCCACCGCAGCTCCTGCAAACAACACGCCGACGGTTACATCGCTTTAAGAAGTCACATCGAAAACAGAACTTAAACGTGCAGTATTTTCAGCCAAATGTTAAACACAAATAGAAGGAAGATGCAGATGGATAAACAAAG